TCTCACTTACGATTTGTGTATGAGTTCTGGGCGGGGCTTATGGGGTATGAGGGATCATACGATTACCTCACCAGCAGCTGAAAATTGATATGGTCAACAGTGGGAGGGGCCTACGCGACATGATCGGTTGGAGGGACTACCCAACAACAACGACAGGTGCCAAAGCACAATTTATGACAAAATGTAATGGAGTCACTAAGGTGGCCGTCTAAGACAGGTGTTATTGCTTAGTGTGATAGGGGTTGTGTGTTAAAATATGGTGGCCGCAGCCGCGTTGGACAGGTGCCCGTTTTACACAGTTAAATTATATAGAAAAAACGCAAGGGGGGAAATGAAAAGTGGCCGTTTGTACAGGTGGCCGTCTTATAGAGGTTGCCGTCAGGACAGGTTCGACTGTACTTTCATGATATGAAAAAATAAAATGAAGCTGGGATTCATTCCTCTCTTACCACCCTGAAGTTAATATAAAAACCCTATTGCGCTCTACCTTTACCCTTCTGCACAAGAACCGCACTCCTAAAGTGTGGCGATGAGAATCAAGCAGTCCAGCAGAGTGTCCACAAGGAGCTCAGGTGCATGAATCTTGAAACGCTTGTGAGAGGGAGCAAGAGCATCAAAAGGTTTTTAAGAAAGGGCAGCAGTCACTTTTATGTTGTATAATAGAGGTAGTTTGTTACTTTGTTGCTTGTTTGTTTTTGTAATTTTCTTTTTTAAACCACTGCACATTCAGCACTTTCTCAAATCAAACCCAAAATGATAAAAAATCAGTTTGTATTTTTAACCATATATTTTCTTTTCGCAGCAGAAATATGGCATACATGTTCATGTCACAATAGTTGAGTCACTGTGTATACCACATCATGCCATCATAAGAGTTGTTGTCACAATGGTCACATGAGTAGAAGTAGACCAAATTAAGTTGGGGAGGTCTAATTATCATGTGAGTATACTGAGTAGGTAGGCCTGAGTTCCACTGCACATCTCTCACACTGTCTCACAAGCTTAGGATCTTGTCACTGAGTCAGGTGACACAAATTAAATCATGGCAACAACAATGTTTCAAGAACAAAATAATCAACAGATCTATATTTGGGTTTCAATTAGGTGGTAGGCCTACATTTTTTACACAGCCTGATTTCTAAATAATTAAATATTCAAGACCAAGAAGAGAATAAAGTAAGTAAGGTGGTTGGTTCTAACTAACTTGAAATTAGGTGGTTGGTTCTAACTAACTTGAAATTGCTTTCAAAACAAACCTAACATGATGTAGGCCATGATTATGATTATTTATAAAATTATGTAGAGAGTTTCTATAAAATAATAATATGATGCTATGGCATATTTAGAATCTAGTCTAGACTCTAGATCTAGATTCTAGTCTAGAAATCTAGATCTAGATCTAGATCTAGATCTAGAAATCTATATCTAGATTTCTAGATTAGAAGACCATATATTTGTCGCAGAGTTTACTGGTAAAATGATACAGTTAACAGAAGCTTAAAAATCAAGCTTCCAATCTCCCCTCTGACAGTTGAACAATTTAGATATATATATAATATATAGATCTAGATCTAGATCTAGATCTAGAATCTAAGTCACAACAAGAAGGTTGAGAGAGACTATCGAGCGCGCTCATCAACTGCTGCCAAGACAAAATAATGTGAACGCGTGAGAAAGAATTCAACAACATGCAAAAAGTTAAAAAGCAAATCCTGCGTAGAAATATTGCAACTTAGCATGAGCAAACGAAAAGAAGATAAAGACTAACCATTACTAATTAACAAATCCCATGCAAGTTTCTGCTAAGTGCACGGTACGGCCCAATGTTTACAATCTTGCAGTGTCGAGATTGCTCCCGGAAGTCATTTGACTAAATGGAAATTAGATCTTGCCTGGGCCGAGAAGGCCACACATCAAAATACGTCCAAACGCTGAAGAGTTCAAATTATAGCAGTAGGAAAACGTCACTCTGTCCTGTCGTGCTTCACAACTCCATTTGACACTACAACGTTTGTCATTGTTGTGCTGGTGTGGACATCAGACAGATCTGAAGTTGTCTCAACAAGAAACTATTTTGTTGGTTTAAATCACTTGGCATACACACGAGAAAATAATGAAAACAAAGGTGATGGATTATTAAAGATTAATTAGATTTGTTATCGATCCTTATTTTTGTAGGAAGATTTATTATTAATTTTCTTACATGTTGAGTGGCCTGGCCCTGGCTGGGCAAGGAGGGTGCTGTGGTGACGCTGGCGTCTCTGTCCCAGCAGGGTCCTCAATTTGAATACCAGTCGTACCGGTGCAGTCAAGACGTCACAGTCATCTCGTCACACCCCAAATCCACAAGGTTGAATTGAGACGGTCATTTCGTAGCACATTTGCAAACATCAATCCACATTGCCATGGCAATTGCAAATCACGATTTTGTTTGGGGGGATGGTTGGGGCTGTGTGTGGAGGGGGGGGGGGGGGGCGGCTGTGCAAGTCGCCATGCCTACCTGATCAGCTACAACGTTCATAAAAATACGTATTGACAATTTTGAAGACCTATCAATAAAGTTTTTAGGTATTATTGATGAAAGGAAGGTGTGATTGGCAAGACCATATATTATTAGTTTTCTCTTAGGCCACCTCTATTCTCACCCGGGATGAGAATAGTGCAGGCGAGTCTTTTGGCTATTCTCACCCGGTGCGCGTTCACCGTTATAGCCTAGATCTAGGCCAACAAATTTTGCGTTCACCCTAAACCACAGAATTCTACACTGTGATAACAGAAACATTGTAGAATTCTGTGCCGTGAACAAACGTTCCATTACAACTGTAGCCTACTAAAAGCGTACAATTTTGTCTGTGGGCAGTGGAGAGATAGAAAGAGAGAGAGAGAGGAGTAGCGCGAGAACTTCCGGTCAAAACAAAATGGCGACCCGCGTAGTTCGGCTCGATTCGGAAAGTTAAATAGCTGTAGCATCTTTGTAGACAACCAAATTAATTTACTTTTGTGTTTTAACATCATTTTTTAACTTTGTTTTTGTCAATTTGATCGTCCACACCGATAGACAGTATTCAGAAAGAGACAGAGAGAGAGAGAGAGGGAGGAGTAGATCTTGCGAGAACTTCCGGGCAAAACAAAATGGCGACCCACGTAGTTCGGCTCGATTCGAAAAGTGAAATAGCCATAGCATCTTTGAAGACGATCAAATTAGCTTACTTTTGTGCTATAACGTAATTTTTTCTTGGCTTTTATCAATTTGATCATCCACACCGATAGACAGTAGTATTCCAAAATGAGGAAAAGCAGGTCTTGTTTCGCACCGGGTGAGAATAGCCTACATGGCAATTCTCACCCGGGGTGAGAGGTAGATCGTTTTTCTATTCTCACCCCGGATGAGAATAGCCACTTCCTTTCTCTTAACCCTAGAAGCGCTCAGCGTTTCACCGGAAGTAACCCGCCAAAAATGCCCCGCCGCCACGGCCGATCAGTTGTAAACATGGGGGTTTGGTGGGGGGGAAACAGCCGAGATACCCGAAATGTATACCTGCTACTGAAAAATAACCATTTACGGCTCAACAGATGATAAAAAGCATATAAAAGCATATATTTTCTTTAAGCTGATAGAATGAGCCATTCAAAAATGATCAGCTATCAAACAAATACAAACAATGCCGAGAACGTGATAGACTCAACAATTAGTACATCAGCACGGCGAAACAAGTGATAACACATAGCGTGTAGTCGCTCAGCAGGACCGCGTCACTTTATCGATCGATATCTCGGCCAAGAGACGCTGTACGAGGTCAAGATAACTTGCAAAGTCATTGGTCACTATTTATAACTTTGGCCTGTAATTGACTACGTCATTTTCCATATAAGGAAAACTGGAATTTTCCATTGTAAAGGGTCAGCGTCTATGCCCTTTATATAGGGCCTGCGTTCTTCCCGGTCGAAGTAGGTCAGCTCTATATATAGGGCGTGCGCGCTTCCCGGGTAGCCCGGCTCACGCCCTTTATATAGGGCCTGCGCGCTTCCAGGGTTAAAAATAAATTAGCTGGAGTCTAATAGAAGTGTATGGTACGAACTGCGATTTGGTTAAAAGCTAGATCCTTACTTTCAAACACAAAGCCTTAATTAACCTTTACCAAACATTGTTTTTGCCTCATTTAAACAAATATGTTCAACTAGATAAATACTGTGGAACAGTTTGGACGAAGACTTTTACATAATAATTTATGTAACTTAAAAAAAAACCTGATAGAAATCCATTTAGATCCTTTGATCCTGTCTAAGTTGAGGCCCTCTATTGATGAAAGTTGCTGACTCCCCACCTCTAGATAAACAAGTCCCTTTCTAATTCCACCGTTCAGGCGGAGCAGTGCAAAGAGGAAGGCAACAAGTGCATGAAGGAGAACAAGCACACAGAGGCTGTCATTCATTACACAGAGGCCATCAAGCATGAACCAAACAGTGCTGTGTTGTACAGCAACAGGTCTCTGGCATTCCTCAAAATTGACCAGTTGTACTTTGCTCTGGATGATGCTGAAAAGGCCATTAAATTGGAACCTAGCTGGCCTAAGGTATGTTGTGATCGTTGACCGATGAACTGATTCTGAAAGGTTTTTCATTTTAAAAAGATTGTTCCTTCTTTTATCCCATAATAAATGTTTGTAAATTGATGATTTTGAGCAGAAATATTGTTGTTTGTTAAATTTTTAATGAAACCCTATTATTGTGTCTTGTACTCAAACAAAAAAATGGCAACCACTTGCTTGCCGCAAGAATTGAACCCTGATTAATGATTAGTCAAGTTGATTGATTTTACCGTCTTCTCCTTGTCTTTCAGGGTTTCTTCAGAAAAGGGGAGGTTGAATTCAAAGGAGGAAACTACACAAAGGCCTTAATGTCTTATAGGGTAAGTTTTGCCTCTGGATTTTTGTTCCCAATACAGCTGATGTGAACACTGTTATATAGCATACACCCAGGATGAGTGAGTTTGCAATGTGTTTGTATTGTCCATCTCTGAAGTGGAGATTGTCTCTGGATAAGGGAGCCCATCATTGATAACCACTTATTGAATAGTTAAACCTGCTCAAATGGCCACCTCTCCAAGATAATGACCTGTGCAAATGATCCCTTCTCATTTCCTCCTTGAGCTTTTTTCCATATTAAATAATCTTTATAATGACTGTCCAAGATGTACATCTGTCTCAGACAACTACTTTTCTCCTCAACAGTGGGTGGCCAACATTGAACAGTTTCGACTATATTCATTATGCAGTGCTGACTTTGTTACCTACCATGATGTTTATATATTTTGGCACTTATCTTTCCTATGCACGACAGCCTTACTAAACATTTAGGACATATATATTGCATGTTACAAAAACTGTCAAATGGGCTAGAATATAGCAATGTGGTAATGTCATCAGAGTATGTAGACAAGACGATAGCTCAGTAATCTGACACATCATCCTTGTTGGTCTTAGAATATGTAAGGTTGTACTTGTGTAACAACTCCAAGATTTTGTAATTGTCAGTCTTTTGAGCAATGAAATGGTTTCTTTGAATTTCTATCTATATATATATATATATCTCATTATCTGGCACATTCAAGTTCTCAGCTGTTGTGGATGATGATAAGGGGGGAGAGTGTGAAGTTGATAATTGGGAGAATGTGATCATGATGCAAAAAAGTATGAGAGCATTGTTATGATTTTTTGGCTTGAGCTTTGGCATTTTTATCACTTCCTCAGCTGTTTACTTTATTGTTCAATCTTGAAAACATGTATTGTGGAATAGGAGTCACAATATGGACTGCATATCTTATCTCTGTTTATCCTACGGCACTCTTCTCTTTGCCCTTACCTTAATAAAGTAAAATAAAAGTCCTCTGTTCATTTTTGTACCCCTCAGCAAGCCCAGCTTTTGGACCCAACAGATGAGGGCATCACTGCAGCTATTACAAAAGCTACTAGAGAGTTTGCCAGAGACAAGAAAGGTTTGTTTTTAAGAGAAGTTACTTTTTTCTCCACTATACCAGTTCATGTACAACAATTAAAATCACATGTAATGGTTTGAGAATATAGAGTTTCGGGTCCTGAGAGGAAAAGATTATCTTATTTGTTCTTAGATGATTGAGAAAAGGACATGAAGACACTCATCATAATACTTTTTATTTTTTGTCAAACAGTTCTTGAATCACTGCCTTCAAAATAAATACATACTGTTGTCTCAATTGTTACCATAACTTTAGAAAGGCTCTGCTTTTTTTCTAGCCATTCTTTCACATTGCAGCTGGTTGACTTAGGTATTTTATTACTTTCCTTTTTTGCTTCCGGCAAAAGTTAACTTTGTATGTAGGAGTAACTTTTATTGTAATCTTGTGGACAGCTGAGGTCATTAACACTGAATGTAGTATAAAATGATGTATCTACCAAGCTGCACAATAGTTCAGGCCATGTTTATTCTGTGAACTGCTGTATTTTCAGATGCTGCTCGTAAACCAGTTCTGTACAGCTGTATTGGTTTGACTGTGGGGGTCTTAATTGTGGCTGCAGATTCATTTCTCACAGTCAAACCAGCTATTCCAGTAAGTTTTGGGGTGGTTTTTTGTTTTGGTTAGGGTTGTTTTGTTGTTGTTGTTTTCGCTGGGTTTAATTTAATTTTTAAAAATTTTATTGTTACTTTTATGAAAGGGTGACAATAAAACGAAATGCGTCAGACAAGGAGGACCGAGTGCTATGGTAAAACAAACACATGGGTCATCACCACTCGGAGAACGAGCGAGGCTTCTGTCACAAGTTCATGTTGACGTCCATTGTTATATTGTTACTGACAGGGTAAACAGTGACCACTCCTCTCACTTACGATTTGTGTATGAGTTCTAGGTGTGGCTTATGGGTTATGAGCAAGACGTGCTGATAACACGTCTCGGTTATGAGGGATCACACGCTTCCCTCATCTGCGGCCGAAAATGTGTTACCTATTGGTCAACAGTGGGAAGGGCCTAC